GTGAAACTCCGACGAAACAGTTTGTCACAGCCCCTCGTTTGTTGTCCTCTTCTCTCTCTCTGCCTACGGTTTAGCGGGCAGTTCTGTTTGTGACGATATATATATCTGACAATCAAGTTATCTTAATTTTGTTAGGTGCCTTTGTAACCGGTATCTTGGCGTTACGTTTAGGAAATGAATTAAAGTTCTCTTAATTGAATGAGAATATATGAATATGAATCAAATCAATATGAATATGAATCAAATTTAAAATATAGGCTATCTTCTTTTCAAATTCTTCTTTATTCTCTAAATAGTTCTATAAGAATCAATTAAATAGAGAATCTAATTGAATTCACAAAAACAGTTTGTCACAGCCCCTCGTTTGTTGTTCTCTTCTCCCTCTCTGCCTACGGTTTATCGGGCAGTTCTATTTGACGATATATATACCCCTTGTTTGTTGTCCTCTTCTCCCTCTCTGCCTACGGTTTACCGGGCAGTTCTATTTGACGATATATATATATATATATATTGGGTTCAGCCTCCTGATGAGTCGGTGAAACTCCGATGAAACAGTTTGTCACAGCCCCTCATTTGTTGTCCTCTTCTCCCTCTCTGCCTACGGTTTACCGGGCAGTTCTATTTGACGATATATATATATATATATAGAGAGAGAGAGAGAGAGGGGCAAGGGGAAACAGAGGTGTGTGGTCAAAATGGATGCCTGGCCAGGGGTGAAGCTACCTGCCTGAGGAGATCTGGCTGCCAAAGAACGTGGGTGAAGCAGTGGCACGGATAACGCTCCCAAAAGGACATACAGAAGATCCCGGAACGCGGAGAGCAATTTCGTCTCTTTTGCAGATTTGGAAGATGTACAAAGTTTAAGGTTTTGGAAAATGGTGTAGCTATATATGAACTACGATTTGTTTTGTCAAGTCTTTGACATTATGTTGTACGAGGAGTACAGTGATTTGTTATAATGTGTTCCCGAGTATGCATGCTGAATGAGCCGATTGCTATTTCCTTCTGACCCGTGTCTGTGTTTGTGATTTGCTTGGATGCGTGCACAGGTTTTCTGTATTCTGCACATTGTTGCGCTTGTGTGCTTTCTGAAGCGCATTTTGCCGAAGAAAACGCTGCTCCTGGCACAAACCGTTGTTATCACACTGGGATTGTGAGTATTTGACACTTCCCTGGTCACTGCTGCTTCGTAATCTTGATCTTGAAACTGGAGCTGACATGCGCATGTGCGATGAACGGGTTCTTCAATGGACATGCATCCAGTTCAGTGACCTCAATGGAGTGCTCGTCCTGGTTTCTTACTGATAGACACTCCACAATTTGGGAATGTTGTGGACTGCTCACTTCCTACCTGTTCTGGTCTGGCAGCTGATCAGGTTGTCTCTAGGGTGTTTTCCAGACTGTGGTTTGACTAGTGTAAATGTCTGTTTTGAGCAGTCTTTTCTGGAAGGTCTGGGAGATCTATGTGCTCTGTGTTTTTTTTTAGTAAGGACTGCAGACTTGATATATCATTGCTGAACTGGTCAGGCCCAGGTAATTCAGAAGTATATTTTGTTTGTTTCGTGCCATCTGGATTCGAACTCGGGTCTGCATTCCAGCAGTTGATGGGTGTACCAACTGAGCCAGGCCCGCTGGTGTATCCGGTCTTGTTAACCGGTCTGTGTGCTAATTTTTGTTAAGGTTTTCTAACAATAGGGTTGAGCGCGTGTGGGATGTGGTGTGGACCGTGTGTGTCCAATGAGTATTATTTATCGAGTAATACAAGTACTTAATTTTATGGACACAGACTCTCATCCATTCCTCCTCGTTTCACCTGCTGCCCTGAATGAACTATGCTGCTGTGTACTGTACCCTAGGCATGTTTTTCCATGTGCCTGGGCGCAAATTTTGTGACCTTACATACGCCTTGCTTCCGGGTCGGCAGGACCCCTGTGCGGGTCCCGGTCGGTCTCAATGCAAAAAAATAGAAGTAAAGAAAAAATAATTTTTTTTAGAAAGAATTTGGAAATAACCTAGGTTACCAGAGTGGATGTGCGTGCTCCTCCTGGTTGTCCGGGATGTTCGAACGGACACCTGCCCGGCCATCTGCCCAGACATGGGTTTGTCCTGGCCAGGGCAAAACCGCCGAAAAAAAAAATGCTGTAGATATTGCAAACGCGGACATATCCTGGCTGAGGTTCCTCTCAAAATTCGCAACCGATCGGAAGGTGAAAGATAAAAACAAAAAGAAGAAAATTTTGATGTAAACGTGACCCCTCTTGACCCCTCTGAGGTGTGTGTGTGTGTGTGTGTGTGTGTGTAGATTGTCACCACAACATCCCCTCTTCCACCCAGATGAGTTGATCCAAAGTCGAAGCATCGTTACCTCTATTGCAGACAATGAAGCACAGTTGAGATGAGCCATGCCGCTGCTGCAGCAGTGCCAGCAGCTACTGTGCTGCAGCAGTGCCTGGTAAAGGTGGTGGTGGTTTAAGCCTCATTTATACCCCCCTTTTCCCCCTCAATGGACAACACTGGAAAGCAAAAAAGAGCCCGGGTTTGGGCCACTTCCGGTGGCTGCAGAAAAGCCTGCCGTTGGGGGAAAAGGAGTTCCGGAGTTTCTAGATGCCCAGGGTACCCCGTCTGTGCAGACGGTCAGGCGACCTGCCTGGGTGCCTGGTAGCATAGGCTGCAGCCTTTTTTTTCACTTTTTCTGAGTTTTTCAAGTGTTTCTTTTTATTGCAGAACGCTGGAAATTGGGTCCAGCATCCCCGACATCAAGAGACCCGCTCACCGTTCCCTTCATTCTGGTCAAGGGACTCTGAGACAACAGGATTGGTTGCTTTCTTTTTTGAGGAGGGATGTACTATCGGTCGAGCCCTGCTCTTTCGGCCTTTTTAGCCCATGAATGAAGGAAAGGCTTTCCTGCTCTCATGCCATTGTTGCTCTTTCTGTGCCAAAAACAAGGGCTCATGTGGCCTTCAACAATGTCGCAGTATTGATCCGTCTGATCCATCGTCGTCTTTCCAAGACTGGTGGCTTGTCCATCAACCCACTCAGTGTTTCGGCCAACCCCAAACATTGCGGGCATGCCCTGATTCTGTCTGGTCGGTGGAGCCTGTTGTCTCGGCATAGGTTTTTCTGATTAGGCTACCATGTATTTGAGAATTTTGTGTGCCCTTCATTGGCACTAAACACTGTAACACTGACATGTTCCTCACCGTGGAGTGGTTCTGAAGGGCTGCCGCTGGCCTCTCAACTCCACAAATGACCTCCATTTTTCTCGGGGACACAGCTTTCATTCAATCTAGAGCTGGGCATGTGCTAGGCATATGGTGGCTCACTCCATAATTACCTGGGGTGTGCGCTGGCAATGGTGATCCTGGAGGCCGAAGCTGTGCCATCTTCTGAGCATTGTGTTTCACTCCATTATTCCTGTGCAGCTACTTGGGTTGGGATGCTCTGAGTCTGTACTGCAGGGCTACGCGAATTGGAGCTTGCTAGAAGCCACAGGAACAGAGGAGAATGTTTTGTTTCTGATGGAATGGCCTGATGAACTGTGCCGATCAGTTTCTATCTCCTTGGGCCATTGCTGCTGATGGTGTTTGTGAAGAACCAGACAATTTGCTTCTGAAGGCAGTGTGGGGTTTGGGGAAGTTCAGGAGGCGAGAGCAATGTGGGAGGAAGGAAGTGTTTTTTTTTTTTTTTTTTTTTTTACCCTCTGGAAGAGAGATTCTGTTCGTGTCATTCATATCCTCGGTTGGTGGATGCAAGGCCGGTGATGCTTAAATAACCCCTCCTTGTTTGCAATTGCTCCTCTCGGCCTACGCCAGTTTCCGTGGATGGAAGGAAGAACTCTGGCTGGTGGGTTGGCCATCCACTGCACCACCTGACAAACCAGAGGCCCTGTGGTAAACGCGCCGGTTGCGAAACTTGGGTGGTGGTTCATGGTGGGGCCCACAAGTATCGGCATGTGCTGATCTTTGGAGATGACATTTGGCAGATATTTTGGAGGAGTCGTATCTCCGTTGAGTGCGCGTGGTGAAACTTTTCGATGCTTGGGTCTGTTATTGTTATGAATGCAGAGGTGGCGCAATTGCTCTAGGAGCTGTCCTTGTTGCAATGGTTGCAAAGAGCCCAACATTGGGATGGAGCGGGAGGAGTTTGAGTCTTCTTGACCCGTGAGTACGCCCACTTTCATCATATTGATGTGTGCATGTTGTTTTGCTACATCTCATTGCTCGGCTAGTTCCGGTAGCACATCTGTGAGACGGACCCACTTCTGATGCCTGAGCAGTTTGTGGGCCATGTTAGGAGGTATTGGCATTCTGCTCCACCAGTGAGAAATCAAACATTTCGTGGTGGCAAAGGATGAAAACTGAATTTTTGCATGCCGTAAGACATGAGATAGCATCTCTTCCTCTTGCTGCCCCTCGTTCTTCTTCTTCCATACATTGTGATCATTGTTATAGTCATCAGCATCGCTATTGTCACTAGTATCAAAATCAGAGAGCACCGTTCATGACAATCTCCCTCATCACCGCACCCCCTGCCCTCCACTCAACCCTCCAAACCCCCCAAGTCAACGGGGACCGAAGATGGTGGAGATCTGCACAATGAGGCCCTGCTTGTAGAGATCTGTAAATCACCCCTGGTTGGCCAAATCCCGCATGCTGGCAGGCTGCTCATAGGTAGGCACCTACTACATAGTAGGCTCCCTTCTGTCGGCTGGTTGGTGCCTGCCGTCAGTGGTCTGTGATGATGTTGGAGGCTGGAAATGTATCTCCCTGTGCATTTTCTGACTTGTCCGGATATCTGGAGAGGTTGCCTGGACGGCCTCAATAACTTGGCTATGTAGGTTCGCTCTCTCTGCTTTTTTGCATTTTGTGTCACATAGCGTGTCGTCTCTTACTGTGGCTGGCTGACCGCAAAATGGACTTGCTTGTGGCTTGTTTCCACTCGAAATGTGTATGGGATATATGGTCAGCGCTGCTGTGATGAGTTTGTGAGACATTTCGTCAGGATGCGATGGACTCTCCTTTGTGGTGTCGTGTATGGATATTCCATGTGTCCCTTCTGTCTTACATGTTCGTCCCACGTTGTTGTTGATGGATGCCGGATGTCACAGGACCTATGCTAGCAAGTACATTCCCATTATTGCCAGTGTGAGCGAGCACCAGCCTCCGACATGGCCATCTTACTTCATGGACATCCACATCCTTGCATTCCTGGTTCCTGCCGGGTTTGTGGTAAGTAGGTGATGGTTTGTCAAAGAATTTGGGCCAACCATAATGCAACGATCTCACGAGTTTAGCCAATTGCTTGCGACATCACGAATCCACATGTCGTCACACGTCACTCAACACATGAGATGCAAATCAACATGATATGAGAACACAGCTGAACTTGTTTGGAAAATCAAACTCTTACACATCGAAGTCTCCTGTATGTACAATGGTGGCTATGGTCATCTTTCCGACCGTCAAGGCAACTTGCACTCTCTCTCCTGCTACCCAGATCGTCTTCTTCCTCTCTGAATGCCTTCGCTCTCCTTGTGCTCACTCAAGTCTAAGCTATGGGCGCTGCGCTTTGTTAAATACCCTACTCGAGTCTCTCTCTCTCTCAGCCTTGCTCTATGCTTGTTGGCACAGGACCACAGCAGGACTTCTGCTGCATGCTTGGATGAAAATTGTGTTCTCGTCTGGCGGCTGTCAGACTTTTGTGCTTGTTGCTGCTCGCAATGTTGGACTTTTCCTGTCTGGTGCTGGTCCCTGTCTTGCTGGCCATAGTTGCTTTGAAAGTCCGGTAAATACCTCCCAGGGGCACAGGATGGGGAGTAGCCTTGAGGGCGAGGTCGGCCAGTACAAGGGGCGAGAAAGCATGCTGCACTGGAATGGGGTTAGTTGTTGGTGTGATACATGGGGATACCTGTGGATTGGGAGTCTTACGGACACCCACAGCTGTTTTTGTTTGTTGTGTGGAAGGCGAAGAACAGGGAAAGAGCAGTAAGAAAAGGTGGAATAAAGAGAAGGAACAAATCAGTAAATGAGAAAAGCAGGTAAATTGAGACGAAAAGGAGAAGCTGGAAAAAGGAGGAAAAGGGAAGAGGAGAAGGTGGGTTGGCGACTTGATAACGGTGGCAGGGAAGGAGAAACGGAGCAGGAGAAAACTTGGAAAGCCATGTCAAGGGTATATGCCAAATGGCTGCTGGGTGTCGAGGTTGGAAATGAGTTCCGCTTTGCCAGAGAGTGAGGGGGATCTAGGATGGGTGCAAAGTAGGTCAGGTAGGTGGTGTGCAGGCGGTGCCAAGGGCCCGTTGAACACTGGGTTGTGTGGAGGTGGTCCAGAGCAATGATAAGCGGAGCCAGAAGATTGTTGAGTTGGTCTTCAGAGAGGTTTCGGCTCCGACACTGCTCAGTTGCGCCGTTAATGACTGTCTGAATGGTAGAAGAGGGGGAAAAGGAGCAGGTGCGAAACACTGGTTTCGAACGAAGGAAAACAAGAAGAATGGTTCAGTGTATCATGCATGCCAATTTTGCAGTGGAGGGTATGCCAATTTTGCAGTGGAGGGTTTGTCAATTTTGCAGTGGAGGGCGTGAGGATATTCTCGAGGTGTAGGGATGTGTAGGTCGGCGGTTGAGACTTGAGAGAGTTACATATGGAGTATTTTCCAGGAAGTCATGCATGGGGAAGTTGGGGGTATGTTCAGTAACATGGGGAGTGTTTGGCAAGAGTGTTGTTTTCCTTTTTCCTTTTCTTCTGCTGACGAAGGTTCTGCAGATCCACTCTCTGAAAAGTGGCGAACAGACTGTCATCATAAGGAGAAAATTGCCAAAACGTAGCTGACATGTAATGCAGAGGTTCTTCCACATCTCCTAAACTCTTTTTCTCTCAGAATTGCAAACTCAGGTGTGGTGTGTGGCGATTTGTCCCTCTGTGAAGGGCTATTTCATATTTGTCTGTCTGTGGTTTAGAGAATGACAAAAGTTTCAAGATCTGTCCCCGATACTAATCGTTTGGAGGAGTAATTCATCTTTCCGAGGGAGACTTGAGAAGAAGGACAAAAGAAAAACGAAATGGTTTGTTCTGTTAACCAGATGAGACCAAACTCTGCCCGTCTTGATCTCTCTGCCCAACAAGAAAGGAAAACCATGCAAGCTGCAACGTTGCCGTAACTTATTCTGTTTCTGTCTGTTTTGATGTGCAGGCCTGTTTTCTTCCGTTATCCGATGCCAGTTTGTTCCTCGTCCTCTACGGTGTAACATCGGTTTACTTCTCAGGGGTCATGGTATGTATCATAATATGCGCTTTTCTCCCCCCTTTGGACTGCACCTCGGCTCAGAATAGTAGGGGTGGGTGATTTCTGCAGCTCAGCTACCTCATTACCAAGTGGCAGGAGGTAGTTGGGGGTATACTTGGAAAGGATAAGACAGTTGAGGTGATAGTATGAGTTCTATGGACAGGAGGGGGCTATGGGTGGTGTGTAGTGGCCGTTGGACATCAATTTCTTGATGCCGAGATTGTGAAGTTGCGTCGAGTTTGATCTGCCAGAGAACTGTATATCGATGTGAGATAGAAGTTAAAAAAACAAAAGAGAACAGAAGCGCTATGGATGATGTATTCCACGTCCCACTGGTGACACCGAAATTGTGAAGCTTTGTTGACATCTTGGTTCTGTGTTTCTTAGTGATCGTGCGCGAGGTCGACATTGAGTTTGCATGCTTTATGTTTGCTTTGTTGAAGCTGTCACGACAGACCTACCATGTGAGATGACTTTTCTGACTTTCAACCAAATCTGGGTATGTATATTGGAAAGGAGTTAATCTGACCGCAGGTTCCCGTACAGCTACCTCGTTATGGCTTCACCTCAGTCATTGACTCGATCTCTATAATCAACGATGTAAAAAAAACATGCTGCGCCCAACGCAAATGTGAAGGGGATTAACTGGATACGGAGCCTAGAAGATTGAAGTGTGTGATGACCTGTCTGTGCATTGTGATTTGCTCATGCAGGTGCGGCTGATGTTAGTTCTTGCGCCTGCGGCCTGCATTTTGTCTGGAGTGGCCCTCTCAGCAGCTTTTAACACGCTGACCCGTTCCGCAAAATTTCACATCTATGGATTCATTTTCCCCAAAGGGGCACCTGTGGAGTCTGAAGCGAAGTCGACCGCACCGACGGAGCCGAAGGTGACAACTGTAAAATAGGGAACTGATTCATGAATTGAGTATATTGAACTCAATACTATATATCACATTATCATGCGATTCATGTGTCGTATTACTATGGAATTATCAAAAGTTTTTTCATATGAGTTCTTACACGGATGATTACGTTGGAACTTTGTACTGACTCTTGTGTTTTGTGGCATGGACATTCGACACCTGACGGGCGGGATGTGTGCATCTGATCCACACATGGGGATCCCTTGGAACATTTTTTTTTATATTCAGTTCAGTTCATTGATGTTTTCTGGAATTTGGTTGTGAATTCTGACATGATGCTCAGTGTCTTGCTACACTGCACACAGAACAGAACCCAAAGAGAGAAAAGCCACCCTGTTTGTCTATCATAAAGCGAATTTGAGAGTCAGCCTTGATGGCCTCCAAACATTCGATTTCATGGGTCGCATCTGCAAACGAGAATTTGGAACCCAGATACTTCCGCTCTTTGACACTCTGCCATAAAGCGTGCTTGGCTAATTTTTGCTTTGTAATGGATCAGTGGCGGAACGGTGCAGACATCTGACTGTTGATAAACAGACAGAGAGTTCAACTGACGTCAACTCCTGGGCGAATTTGGGGCAACCATGCTTTTCAGAGAGTGTGCAACATCATGAACCCCTGGTTGATTTATAGGCACAGTCCTTTGAAAAGTGTGATGTTTTTCGTGTGCTGAAATAATCCCAGACACCTTACCAAATTGGAGTACTGATTTGTTACCAAATCGGAAGCACTGCGTCTGGGCCGCTAAGACAAAGTCACTGGATTGCATGTTTTGCTTCGAGTCAGGTTTTGTTTAGATACATCTGTGTGCTTAGGCCACTCAGAGCGATAAGGTACTGAATGTGATACATCGGGGTGCAGGTTACAGCGGAGGACTCTGCTACCGATTCTGCGTCAGAAGTGGTGACTCCCAAAGTGGCAACTTCGGGCCGAAAGCGACGAGGCAGTAAAATGAAAGAGGCGGAGGAAGAGCCGCAAAGAGAGCGGAAAAGTGCTCCATCAAAAGGAAAGTCGACGTCAAAGCCCAAAGTTCAGGATAAGAGGACGGCATGGCCTCTTCCCCTGGACGTGTCACTTCTGGGACTTGCGTTGCTGCTATCTGCCTCATGCTTCTACATGGTAAAGCCTAGCCCCGTTCATTGCGCTCTCTTTGTAGACGTTCAAGATTTTCCTCCTTTTGAGTGCATATGTGGATTGGAGGATGATTGAAACTGCTTTGCCCAAAGGTTTTTTAGCTATTCATTCATATATAGTTAAGAGACTTAAGAGTCTTAAGACTGCCTATGGCCTTGTTTGACTGCCTTAGGTTATTTGCGGTTTAGGTTGCGTACGTGTATGAATCCGCCATTCCATTCATTGTGTTGAGGTGTGAGTGACCTGTGTAGTTGGCAACTGTTTCGGACAAACTCGGAGGACACTCTAGGAAGATTTGCCTCGCCCGTAGTGGAGATCACATAGGTAGGAAATCAGATGCATTCCACAGCTTGTGTTTCACAATAACACGTAAAGCAGTCGGGCTGTGAGTGCATCAGCCTGCTCATGTGGATAAAACTCATTTTCTGGGAAAGCGCCTTGGCCACAGTTCAGTGAGCCAGTTGTTGTAAAGGATTCACATGGTGGACAAGGTAAAGCAAGGAGTTTGGAAAGGCTTACGGCTTTTTGGTCGTGCGTTTCATCAAGGGATGGTGGGGAGGTTTGCGCTCATGGGTAATCCTTAACTTGGGAAGTGCTTGGGAGAGCAGAATCACATCAAATAGGAATTAGGCAAGTGATGATGTGCTTGGGAGAACAGAATCACATCAAATATGAATTGGCAAGTGATGAGGATCTCTGCTTCTTTGGTGGAATTGACTCGATTTGGAGTCGACTATGCATTTTGGGCGGATGTTAGAAGAGGTAAAAAAAGAAAAGAAAAGAAAAAAAAAAAGAGTTGTGAATCTGGGGAGTGATATGGATCTTGTGGCGTACTTCGTTTAAGGGTAGGAACGAGTGTGGACGAGTGTGGACAACATTGAACAATCTGTAGCAGGGTGCAGCTCTCGACATGAGAAATGCCCGAACGATTCCCTTCGGGAGGCCAGATTGCCAGATCATCCTAGAGCTCTACGACTGTCCTTAAACAACCAGTACTTCCTAAAGTGGTGCCCGTTAACTACCCACGATTTTAGGAAACGTACAGGCCACTACAGGAGCGCCCAAGTTCATCCGGCTAGAAACATTTCTATTCTACTTTGTTTCCACGGCCGATAGCTGGGCCAAGTACTGGTGGTTTAAGCTGGGTAAGAAATCAGGTCAACGTCTACAGAGAATACGAGGTTGTCAGGCTGGCGCTCTCAACAGGAGAAACGCCCGAACCACTCGCGTTTCTTCACCATGTTCTTGTTTGTTCCCAATCGGTGTCTGCGAAGTGTTTTGATGCTTGGGTTGCATCTGAAGTGGTGTGGTGCTCTTGAGCTTTAGCTTTGCCATATGCACATGGATGAATACGATGGGTGTTCTTACACTCCTATTTTGCGTGGGAGTCCTCACGCAGGCATGTTTGGAATTTATGTAGCGATCATCAGAGCAACTTCAAAGTTGACATGAACGGAGTTTGTTCTTCTGCGTGTATGACTGTGGGATGTTTCTTTTGCAGTACCATTCAGTCTGGGCAGCTTCAGAGGCATACTCAGCGCCGTCGATCGTTCTATCGACACACACACAGGATGGCCGCACTCACATTTTTGACGACTTTCGAGAGGCTTATGCTTGGCTGCGACATAACACTCGGGAGGATGCCAAGGTAGGCTACTTCTTCCCCCCCCCCCCCCCCCCCCCCACCACCACATGCACATGACGCGTACAATGGGTGATCCATTTGTCTGGGCGACATTTTTCCCAACAATGCAGAATTACTGCATACCTGGAGTAATTCTGCAAGGATAAAGAAAATGCCTGCAGGTATTTTACGGGGCTATTTTGGGGTAGGAAAGCTGGCAGCATGTTGGAAAGGGGTGGAAGGAAACAAGCTCCGATGGACAAGAAGTGCTTGGGATGTGTCCTTTTGACCTAGCAGTGTGTTGCTTGGGACTATGGTTTATTGACATCTAGTGATGAATGTTAATGGATGTGTTTCAGCCTGGGCGATGTAGCAAATGCGCTTGGGGCCTGCAAAGGTAGTATGGCCGCCCTAAATGCACAGTTGAACTGCCCCGTGCGAATGCGCAGCGACCTGTTTTTTCAGGGCAAAATCCAAGGACTTAAGAGTAAAATGCTGCTGAGAAAAACATATTGGAAATAGTTCAGACTTCAAATAGATTGCTGGTTGGAGCAGTGCATTGCTGTTTAGCTGAGGGCCACCTCACAGTTGCTTTCCAAAAAGTGAATTTATTATATTCTTAATCATGAAATTTTAGATTTTAGTATTAGAGAGGAAGTTGGCTCATTTTTATATCTCCCCCCAAAAAACGGTGTGAACTATCATCGAATGTAACGATTAAGGACATATTTTTTCTGCTTGGTGTGGAGTTCTCTTCACTCATATACTTCACTTTACCTAACCTCTTTATCTAAGTCGAGTTTTCGAGTATTGATCGTTGCAATCCATCAATGCGCACGAGCTGGGGCTCCTTCGAGTTGTGGGTTGGCACCGACCTCCACCCGTGTCTGAGCACTGCAGCTTTCTCCCAACCCTGGCACAGGATGGAAGGCCCGAATACCCTACCACCACCAGCCAGGGGGGCAAGCCATCTATCTCCGCTGGGGAGCCCAAAGTGTGCCACAGGGACCGCGGGAGTCCAATGGATGCTGTGGGAAATTGAACCCATGTCCTCCTGAATGCCACTTACGTGCTCTAGGAAGGAGACCGGACACCCACTTCTTTGCGTCTTGCTTTCGTGTCCAGCATGTCTTGCTGCACTTCGTGCCTGCCTTCGGTCGGCGTCCGATATCGACGAAAAACGCCTTACGCGGCGCACCATAAACCATGCCCAAATAGTGAGAAAAGGTTAACCGACCCCCCATTTTTCGCCTCAATTTGTACGAAAACCATAAGGCCATTTTAAACAAACTTCATACCGATGTATAGAGTGCACTTCTTACTAACATATTAAAAAAAAAAAAAAAAAAAAAAAAAAAAAAAAAAAAACATATGAAACAGCAAGCCAAAAGTGCATTTTCATGACATTTTGGCAAAAAAACCGTCATCAAATGTTCACAATTTTCACCACTCTTCACAACTTAAATTCTAGTACTCCAAATGACATCAAACTTGACACACAGAAAGCTTGTCCAAATTAAAAAACAGGCAAAAAAAAAAAATCCAAAAAAAGTTTAAAAACACAAAAAAACCCTAAATTCAGGATCATTCAGGATCATCCATTTGCAAGGAAAATAAGCAACAGCAAGAGGACAATCCCAGATCACATTATCACATTGCAAGTCAAATAGTCGCACCGTGTCCAGATAGCAGCATTGCACCAACAATACACCAATGGAGTTTTACAGTAATGAAAACCAATGTCCGTGGAGAGCTCACTCTCTCCCTCAATACACGAGTMCAGTTCCCTTACACTCACACTTGGCGCTCAGCGCCCAGCCTACTCCTACACAGCTACTACAAAACTACAAAAAGACAATGCAACTGTTGACATCAGCAGCAGCTCGAAGTACTTGAAGATGCCGCCCATGCAGACCATCGCCAGTACCAGGTA